TAAACAGTTTGATGTGTATATAAATATATGTATAGAGAGAGATGTACACGCATGTATGCGGATAGATCTCTCTATATACATACACACACAAAGAAATATGCACATGCATGCAAACAAATACGAATGCCACATTCAAACCCACTGATCAACATGCATACATATATGTCTATACTACACAGACGTCAACTACATGCATATACATACGTGCATGTGTATGTACATATATATATATATATGTGTGTGTGTGTGTACTTGCCCGGCTAGTACTCGAACATAGAGAGCGACAGAGTCACAGACACAGACAGCAAGTGAGAGAGTGGGCGGGAGGGAGGGAGCCAGAGATAGAGATAGGAGAGAGATGGGAGGAAGGAGAGAGAGAGAGAGAGAGAGAGATTTCGACTGTAGGACAGACTATGTTTCAAGCCATGTAGGCTTAAAAATCCTTAAGACCGGGCAGGCGGCTGCGACAAAGATGTTGATCGCTGAGCTGATCACCTGATGAAGTGTCTCACATGCCCCCCACCTGCAACCAATGACCTACATTGAGGGATTGGGCACTGCAGATTGTAGATTGCTTTCGCACTCACACCGAACACGACAAACTCAAGTCCCATCGGAACCGACATGACTGCGACAGATAAAGATATGGGCCAAGACAGCGCTAACTAGATAGAGAGAGAAGACACGGAGCTAGCCGCCAAGGGACAAAGCTTTCAAGAACCTCCACCAACCCAATAGTGGTAGTAGCTGTCGTGCTAACACTTCTGGAACCCTTTCAAAACGCTTTTTAAAACGTTCCAAGAGCTCCAGGAACCTCGGCGAGGGGACACTGAGCCCCGCACTCTCCAAGAATACATCCTGGTTCAGGCATGCTGAAGGTCACAATGCCAACAGCAACGGATTCAACCTTACACAAACTTGCAGGGTCTCTATAGTCTCTAGGTCCCCAGGTGTAGAGTGTGACAGGCTTAGCCCAGAGAATGTCGCACAAGATCGTGCAAGCACGCCAAAACCAAGCCTGGTGCTATCTTGCATGCACTGCCTGCTGATTCAGGCCCATATACCCCCCGCCCAAAACCCCTAAACCCCCACACCCTAAACCGTAACCCAAACCCTAAGCCCCAACCCTCTCCGTACATCGAGAGCATATAAGCTGTGGCATACTGGACCTTTCTTGTCTCAGGACGTCTTGAGGAGTAGCGGAGTACCGAAAAGTACGATTTACGTGGCCGAGGATTTTATGCCCCGCTTTTGTGAAAACTATACTACTGTAATGTTCCGGAGGAGTAGCCGGTTGGTCCTGTTTGTTCGGATTCTATGGGGGAATGGGGGCCTGAGTTCGACGAAACAAGTAATCGGTCAAGAACTCGTCCTGCCACAGCAACCTTCACTTCCACTGAACCGCAACCGCAAGCACGAGCCAAGGAAAGCAAAACAACCTCGGAAGCACGGGGATTTAGAGCTTGGGGTTTCAGGCTTTCAGGTTTAGGTTTTCAGGGCTCAGGAAGAGAGAAGTACATACAAAAACCCATATGGCCCATATGAAACTGATACTGGATACATTTGTTATGGAACTCTAGAATACTGTTTCACAAGTTGAGCCTGAGGCTATACTGTGCTGTGCTATACCGCAAATCGGCATGTGCCACCCTTTTGCCTAAGTCTTCAACAACCGGTTCCCCCAGGCAGATTCAACCGGCTTCTCCTGATTTCAGGGTCGGTGCTGTTCACCAAATAGAAGAGCGCCTCAGCAGCAGTGGTAATAAGAGTAGTGTTTTTAATGTTCTTGTAGCACAGTGCTTCTATAGAGAGAAGAGACTGGCAACAGAGATTCCGCACTGTCGCTTGAAGGCAATTCGATGCAATTGTAGCTGCATTCAGACATCGCACAGCCAAGGCAGCAGCCATCATGAAAGCCACAGCGCCAAGAAGCCTCAGCTTTCTTCTCAACGTGTGATTTAGCGCGTTGTCCTGCTATTTTCTTGTTAGGCTTCTGTCAAGGAAACGGGAGGACACCGAAGTCTCCGTCTCAGTCTGTAAGGTGCATCCTTGCAGTCACAAATCCTTGTGCAGCTGTGCGACATCCATGCCACAGTTATGGAGATGTCAAAATGCAGGTCGTCGATCGACACCACCCGCTCGGGGCGGCCTCCGTCCAAAAGACAGCAATGAGCGTAGGGATGGGTTGTCATGTCGAGCTTTGCATATATGCCTGGAGCCAACATCAATCCAAACAATCATGCAGTTTGTTAATGCCAGCTGAAGCTGCATACTCGCTGTTACCACCAACTCCATGACGCTTGAATAGCAAGTCCCACTTGCTGCCATGCTGTGGCACCTGTGATCTCAGTATTCTCGCAGCCACAGAAGACCCTCTCATCTGAAATGGCACATGTGGAAAATCTCTTCTCTCCGAAACTTTCCCATGCTTTCTGCAACTATCTTCAGCTATCTTCAGCTCCATAAAGAGCGAGTGGTAAGTCTTCTGTTGGGATGTAGCAGCTCGCTATGCCTGGTGCTGGCGGCGCTCGTCAGTCGGCTGCTCGATTTCCGCGATCACAGGTATTACCGAGAGTCTCATGACCACTGATGTTTGATGGGATGCCAAAAGGGGGGTGTACTATGGGAACCCTGATCCCTACAAAACCCCCATATGCTAAAACCCCTTTTGGCCTCCTATGAATGTTCATGTATGCACGACTCACGCCCGGCCTCCGTGAGTCACTGCCGCAGTGGAACTCGTCAGCAGACTTTGCAGGCCAACCTCGTGACACAGGAACAAGACTAGGAGAATGAGAATGACCATCCAAACAGTGGTGATCACAAGTGGCTTCGTTTAAACATGTAAGAAGAAGAACTTAGCGACGTCGGCGAATAGCAGTAGACACGGCTGCAAGAGAAGCAACAGAAGCATCATCAGCCAGCTTTCACGAGCTCTTCGCGCCTGTGCCACCTCCCAGAATCTATGTACATAAACCCAGCCGGGGAGCGTAAATCAGAGCTGCCGTGATCAAGCTGGCAGCACGAGATTGTCTCAACAGTCTTGGCGCTCTTCCTAGACCGAGTTCACGACAGACTCCAAGAATTTCAGGGCTTCTGAGATGCTATAAGGGGATCCAGAAGTTGGTCACGATCTCGCACTTCCAATTTTGCTTTCACGGGATTGCATGTGCATCCCTCTAGTCCCAAACCGCAGTCACACCCCCAACCGAAACTGCGGAAGCATCTGCCCAGACTCCACGAGAGCTCTACATGCACCCACAGGCGCTTTTCCAGGACCCTAATATAGCGACCTTAATGATTAGAATAGGGCTTGGGGGCATATTAAACTATAATCAAACAAGGAACCCCCAAAACCCTATTCTAAATCTTACGCCCCCCTACATTGAAGACTTATGCAAAACTCCCACCCTGACAGGTTCCAGCAGACTCCACAAAACCCCAGGAGCCCAGATCTAAAAAATCCCAGGGCGCTGTTTCCAATGCAGGTCTATGATGGTGCAGGTAGGCTTGATGGACAATTTCCTGACCCTTGTCATGCTATACTTGCCCTAAGTCCTAGAAAATATGGTGTGCTCCTTCTGGTGAGGATGCAGGAGTTTGTCCGCCAGTGGTATGAACACGATTCTTAGCTGAACCTGCCTTGAGCAGCCTGGACACTTTGGAGACTTCTCTCACCGAGATGCCAAGCCATGGCTGAGAATATGCAATGGCAAAACGAATACTAGGACTAGTGGAGTTGGAACTGATAGTAGCAGTGCTGTTAGGCATGTATGCATGTACGTATGGTACGTACTGTATGTATGGTATGTGTGTGTAAGTATGTATGTATGTATGTAGGTATCTATGTACGTATGCATGTATGATTATGTATGTATGTATGTATGTATGTGTGCATGAATGTATGCGTGTATGCACGTATGTATGTCACAGATACACATATACATATACATGTGTGCAAATACGCATGCATACCTGTGCACATACTCGGAGACATACATACATATATCCATAAGTACCTACATACGTACACACATATGCATAAATGCTTATGTATATATATATATATAGAGAGAGAGAGAGAGTAAGATAGATAAATAGATAGATATGCAACGTCATACATTCATGCATGCATATATCTATATGCTATGTACACATACATATCGATATTTCTATACACATGTTTGTTTATGTACGTGAGATACTGCCCCTAGCCTCGCAGAAATTTAAAAAATGGGTCGCTGGGTAGGTTTTAGGGTGTAGGGGTTCAGGGCACAGGGCTCAAGGTTTGGGGTTTATAGGGTCGAGGTCACAGCATCAAGGATCATAATGTCAGCTTTGTGCATGAGTAGCCATTATCAGGCTAGTGTTCGCGGAGGGTTGGTGAAGAAGCTAGGGAGGAGGCAGCTTAGGCTAGGCGTTGTCGTACCAAATCCTGTCAAACCCTAAACGCTCAATGCTCCGTGTGAAGGCCGAGGGATAGAAACGAGCATGTGTGGACTCTCCGGCTTGGTGCTGTTTGTTCAATCCCTCTACTCGGATGCATTTTGCCAGAAGTTGGGTCCTCTTTCCGGGTCTTCCAAAACATACGTCGCTTATTGCGAGGGACCTGAAGGAGCTACATAGGTTGAGAGCTAACCGGATGGCTCTAGATCTGCACTCTGTCTCCTCCCCCCTCAACTAAGCAGCGGCTGCCAGTGTGAGCCAAACGGAATTGGCAAAGGAGAGCCGCGGGTCGTGACGTGTACCGAGCGAGATCCATGTAGTGAGTCGGCGCTCTGGCATCTGAGCAGCATGAGCTCAAGGCTACCTACTTGTATCGCTGCTATGAATCAGTGTCCGTCTGTAATCACCGACATACAGAACATGGTCTGGACTAGAGTGGATCGGAACAACCACGCACAGTTATTGAACAATTATTATTGTAAGAACCTGTGACATATGAAATCCCCAAATTCCCGAAGGGAAACAACCGTGACAGGCGGCACTCCAGCGGGAGCCTCACAGGTACAAACGCCCATGACGGCCAGGGACATTTCCAGCAGCTGAGCATCTCCGGATTGCACCATCTGCGGGGATCGTTTCAGGGGGCTTGGCTTGAAATTGAGAGGTCGCAGTACACATCCATGCATCCGTCCGTCCATGTATCCATGCATGCATGCATTCATGCTTACAGGATGTGGAGCTCAGGGTTCGGGGCGTCTGAAGACTGTGAAGTGCAGTGTTGAACACAAGCTATAGCTTAGGAGTACGGCTGCATATAAGATGGGCATGCCAACCGAGCCTGAACGACCCAAACGATTTCTGCAATACCATAAACAGTTGGTATACAACTACAAAGCACCTGTAACTCTCGCCAAAAACGGGCACAAAAACAAACAAACAAACAAACAAACAAACAACAACAACAAACACACAGCAAAGATTCAAGTATAGCTACATGCCCGAAGATTCCCGCCCTGCGAATAACACCCTGCAGCGGCAAATGCTAAAACTTTCAAAGACACCCTTCTTTAAACCGGATCGTTGCCGTCTTCTTTGCTGGCCTCTCGCAACCGCACCGCAAGCGCCCGGAGGGCACCAAAACACCTGGGTGGGTTTAAGGCTTGCAGGGCTTTGGCTTCCGGAGGGCCCATCATGCTCATGAGGCTCGCAACATCTGAGATTTTGCTTACAGAACCCACGGCTTCCGCCTCGTACAGAAATGTAGAAGGTTCATAGACTTATAGAGTTTACTAGGTTCTGCGAGGCGTTTCATCGGTGCATCACAGATGCAGCTTACATTGCTGGTCCTGGTGATGAGGGGTCAGGGGTTTGCGTTTCCTGCTGCTGCTAACACTCCCACTTAAACTCAATCCTACACACACACTCTCTCTCTCTCTCTCTCTCTCTCTCTCTCTCTCTCTCTCTCTCTCTCTCTCTATATGTATATATATATATATATATATATCTATATTTTTATAGATAGATATCTGTGTATATATAATCATACATATATACATATATACATATATGTATATGGTTATATACATATTAGAAGAGACCCTTGAACCCTTTAAACCCTCGAGCTCATCTTCACAGGGAGGACATCAGGCCCGAGCGCAAAGGCTGCGAGGAAGGCTCGGCGGGGACGGATGGGCTCGTCGGGAAGCGCCAGTCGCCTCTACTGGGAGCTCTACAGCTGGTACTAACAATCGTAAAAAAACAGACAACAAAGAAATGGTATAAACATTGGCTATAGTCCTATATCAATAATGGTATTAAAAACCATATTAAGGACAGTTGTTGTTATAATAACTACTATAGCCTTACGATGCTTACTGCTTGTAATTTCCTTATTGTTATTCAGAGTTTCATTATTATGGTGTTGAGGATTTGGGGTTTAGGCCTGTTCAAGATATCACACACGGACACGAAGCCCTCATTAGCAACACCCCCCACCGATCTACGAGATTCTCGACTGATGGACGGTCTGCGGAGTAAATATTGGAGGCAACCGAGCGGTAGCCGTGGTCTATGGCAGATCGTCTCTGTCTCTAAGGTCCAGAGGATGATAGGTCCGTCATATTCATCTGCGAGGGAGTGCTGGAGCTATACACCTAGAACGCTGCAACTCCTCTTGTCACCAGCCGCGGGACTGCTCGGATCAACCTCTGAGAGCGTTGCCGTTGCGACAATGCCCAAGAGGCTCAGAGACTGGCGCATTCGGCGTGCAAAAGCAGACCACTCCTCGAAGGAGATGCTGGCACCGCCCTGTCGCGTGGCGAGCTTTCGAATGGTCTCCGCCCGGGCATGGAGCTCCAATAAGGATGGCGGAGGCTTTTTGGGGAGAGGCTTGGTCCCTGAATGCTCTCGCACGCTCACGGACATCCAATCTTCACATGGCATTGCGAACTCTTGCAAGCTCAGGAGCTGGCAGTTGTAAAAGGGTGCCTGCAGCCGCCAAAGGAACAGCGGTGCACCAGGTTTCAGGACGTTGTCCGCAATGACCACGGCCCCACTAGTCAGGAGCCCCCGCCTCTCCAGGACATCTAAGTCCTCGTCGTAGCGGGAGCCACGTTGATCCATAAACACCGCTCCAAAGAGAGTGGCCGTAGCCTCACCGTGCCAGCTGGGCAGCAGAACCTGGCTGTGACCGGTCCAGACATGCACGGCGTCTGCTTCCCGGCCGGCCAAGGCCAAGACGTTCTTCGCGATGACCACGTGGATCGGATCTGCCTCCAGGCTGTGAATGGAAACTCCCGACTTTAGGCATTCTGCCATGCGAAGTGCCGAGTAGCCACAGTAGGTGCCAATCTCCATCACGTCAGATTCTCCCTCTGCCCCAGAGACAGATGCCAGCAGCACCTGGGCCTTGCGATCCCCCGCAACTTTCAGCCATCTGCTCCCACCCTGCCGCCCAAAGTCTTCGATCGCCATGCACACAGACCGGGCTCCGCAAGCGAGCCCCGCATCAGAATCCCCCGGCACATGTCGCAAAACATAGCGCAGGAGCTGCAACTCCTTGAAATACCGGTAAAGCCCAAACCTCCCTGTCGTCGCATAGCCTGCTGGCCCGGCTAACGGCCGCAGCGGTCGCGGTGTCGCGGCACTTTGGATCGCCGACACCGCGGCATGTAGCTCGACCGATACGCTCGGCGGCGGTGGAATGCCGTCGACAACAGCTTCCGGCAGCATCTGCATCACTAAATCTCTTACCTGCAACAGCTGGTTCTGTTCGCAAGCCGACATCATCGCAGCGATGGAACGCGTGTTGGGTGCCACTCGCTGGCGCCCGAGCGATTGTAGAACATCCAATGCCAATGCCCAGACGGCGGCAGCACTGCATGCTAGAACGACGGCACCGGCACTCACTGCATCCACACCGAAGAAGCGATTTCGAAGCTGCAGCAGGGAGAAGGCTGAGGACCAGCTGCAACCTTCTTTGCCGATTAAGCTGTTGTAAGCCAGCGCATCTGGCTGCAGCTGTCTCCTTACAAGCTCCTGCATGGCCGCTAGCCCCAACCCCCACCCCGACAACACATCGAGCCAGGATCCGCAAGCGATGATGTCCGGCTCAAGCTCGTGCAGCCTCAACTCCCGAAAGAGGCGCTGAGCTCTGGACCACCTTTCAGCCCCGCAGGCTTGCATTGCGGCACTGTACCCCACCATGTCTGTTTGGGCCAACCTTTCCACGATACTGCATAGACTACGAATCGCCTGCTCCCAATGAGGCCCAGAACAAGCTTTGGTCACAATGTTTTGGGACACGACATCTTCAGATAGCGATGCAAGTTTAAGGCACAGCTGCCATTCGTCGCCTTCCGCACATGCCTGCATAACACCATTCAGTGCCATGTCATCCAAAGATAGCCTTCGTTGCATCGCGGCCACGGACAGCAGAACTGCCTTGCTCCAGCGGGATGCCTTCTCGCAACCAGTAACAGCGGCAGTACATCCCATGATGCTCGACGAAGAGGGCGTGTCTTTGAATAGCTGCAGCGTCGTCGTCCACTCACTCCGGCGAGCGCAGGCAGATGCAGCCGAGGTGCATCCTCGACTGCTTGGCAGAAGCTCCGGTTGCTTCATGAGGCGAAGTGCCCGTTCCCAGCAGGCCGCAGCCTCGGCGGCACCGATCCCGGCACTGAGGGCCACGGAATCCAGCCGAAGGCCTCGGGCCCCCCGTGCCACACTTGACAGCAGTTCCTGTGCCTCTTGCCAGCGTTGGGCTTTGCCATATCCGGCGATCCCAGCCGTGGGAGTCAAAAGGCTGGGCCAGGAGCCCAGCCGTGGACGTCGAAGGCGATCCAAGAGCTCAGTGAGCCAAGGCCAGGAAAACGAAGCGAGTCGCAGCGTTCTCAGCACTTCGGAAGTCGGAACTCCCGGTGCCTTTGGGCTCTTCAGCCCCGTCCCTTTCAGCTTCTCCAACAGTGCGCTCACTGCACTCCGCCATCGAGGCTGAGGGGCCTCCACCGTGGCAGCCATGGGAGGACGGAGCCATGGCCCCTTTTTAGAGGAGAGCCCAATACTCAGGGTCCCCAAAGAATCCTTGAACGGGGGGCCACTCGAAAGGCCTTGAGACCCGAAGCCCGAAACACTCCTCGATCCTTGAGTTTGTCATCGAAGCTGCAGCATGAGGACGTGGGGTGTACCGTAATCCTCAGGCCTCAAGTTGAGTGGCAGAGATCAGATAAACCTTAAACCCTAGCTAGGGCCCCATTGATACCCATTGATACCCTTTAGACGCACCCTAAATCCCAAACCCTATGTAAACCGTAGCCAGATCCGGAATCCCACGGATCCTGGGACCTTGAGCCCAAACTGCAAAAGCCCATCCAGCGCAAACTCAAAGCCTACACATAGCAGTCGTGGCCTCAACACTGCCCGCAGCACAGCCAGCAGTGGGGGTGTCTCGCCCTGCTCCTGCTCATACGGGCCGTTAGCCTTGTAAGTGCCACTTCTTGAGGGATCCTCGGATTCTGAAAATCTTCCTTGGTGCTTTCTAGCATCCGCAATCTTCTGGGGTGCCTGAGCCTTATGCCTTGTTGCCTCTCATGCGCGGCTTCCGCTTTCTATTACTACATTACTACATGTTGATTATGCCCCACTGTCCCGGCGCTCAAAGAAAAGCTTGCCAGCCTTGTGACCCTATGACAAGCACGAGGACTAGGCTCGGGCGGTCCGCTCTACAGACATCTCTGTCGCATTCAGCGCTCCCCAAAGCCAAATTCCAGAGACCTATAAACTCGCAATCCGGAGCCCAGCCTTTTCGTCGATGAGCAAAGATATTCGCCCAAAGTCAAGTGCCGGAGGCACCGGAAGCAGCGCCGTGGCCTGCATTCAATCGCGCCAACCACAGCACGGGGCATCCTGCAAGAATGATGAAGCAAAGCGTGAATCTGCAAGCCTGTGCACTTGCATTCGCCAGCTCCTCCTCTCTGCGGCTTTCTCTTGGTATCTATCTATATACAACATCTCTGTCTTCCTTTGTTTCGTTCGCTTTTTCGTTCTTTCTTTCCGTGGGATCGAGGCTTCAACTGTCTGGAACCGGCCATCCGGCCTCTCTCCGTCTCTCTTTCTCTCTCGCTCTCAGAAATCTACGATGGATTTTTGCAAGGATGTGTCTAGCTAGGTCCGTGTAATTACACTGTTGTCTATCTTGTGCCTGGGTTTGCACAGGATATTGGTTATATGTATGTATGTGTATATATATATCCTAGGAGTTCCTATGTAGTTCCTTTTTCTGGTTTCGGTTGGGAAACCATATCTTTCTGGTTCGAGGATTTTGGGAGTTCAAGAATAGGGTTTGTATTCTTCAAGAATCTTGAATATATCATATGAGAAATCCAAGAAAGTCAAGAAAGAAGATCCGAAAGATATCGAAATATGAGAAGTGAAGACAAGATGATGTTCGTGTGCTGATGCTGATGATATGCTTGCTCTGCCTCAAATCAACGGTCGTTCAGCTTTTTTATCGCTCACCCCGCCACCGAAGTCTGGTTTCGATCAACCATTTCTGCGCCGTGCGCAGCGGCATGGCCGTTGGGTGCGGCGTCCTCGAAATAACAGAAGCCCTGCCAACATAATCCTCGGCCATGGCAGTCGAGAACGCCATCGGATTCAAGAGGCGTTGCTGTTGTCTTGAAAGCTGCCCCCTGAGATCCATGCGCACATGATCCAAATAGTGAAGCTTGGGGGTGATATTGAAGAATACCAAACGGTCCCGGTTAGCATCATAAGCGAGCCGAATGTAGTGGATCAGAAACTTGTCCAAAACTGTCAGCGCACTTTGTCCTTCAGTTGGAGTCATGAAGATCCGGTCGGCTTTAAAACATATCCGCATAAAATCATCCAGGCCTGAGTTGCTTCGAACATAGACATTATCTGCTTGGGTCAGTTTACATGCACAACTTCAACAACATGACAAGCACAAGCAAGGCAACAACAAACCTCTCATGACATGAGCAAGATACCATGAGCACAAGCAGACATGTTGTCGATGTAGTTGCTTGCTTGAAGTGGTCGCCCCAAATAATCCGCAAGCCACGATAAAATCAAGTACGTGTCCGAAGCTTTGAAGCTACAGGCAGGCATGCTTTTTGTAGCATCTGTCCAGGAAAGATTCTCTTTCGTCCAGTGCTTAACCATTGGCGTCATCTTCAGGACGTGCTTGCAAAAATGCCTGAAATCATTGTAGGCCTCCTTTAGCCTCACAGGAATGCTTCGCCCGCCATCCATATTTGTGGGAATGAAATGACCCAGGTAAACCAAAAAGCAGATCGCAGAAGCCAAAAAAGTGCGACCTATTCCCAAGCTGACGATATGAAAAAGATCTTTCGCCAAAAAGGTCGCCTCGCCGTTCCTGGTTAAAGCAGCCAACGGTGGCTCAACGCTCCATGGGACGTTCTGGCCTACTGTAGCCCTCCAAGAGGCTGTTGAACGAACATCAGTGAACGGGATGGTTTCCCCATCGGCCAAACACCATGGACACATGGGGTTCGGAACACGTAGGAAATGTCGGTTGCAATGAAAAATCTTGGCCTGAATTGGGAGATCACCTTCCAGACTTAGAAAGCACAGAAAAAAAGTTCCATGCTTGGTGGCAATACCAGTCTCCATAGCGGATGTTGCCTGCTTGGCCAACTCCTTCATCAGTGAGTCCACCACTTCGTTGCCCCATTCCCAACCCACATTGTGCTCAGTATAAGCGTCGTGACCCATGGCAGTCCAAAAAAAATATCGGAGCCAACTTGCAACACCAGATGCGAGGACTGGTCCCCACGAGCACTGGAGAACAGCACTCTTCCGAAGCCCCGTGCCCTCATCTACATGAAACTTGCAAGGGATACAAAACTTTAATTCGTCTTGTGAATGGACTCGGAATACCATGCTATCGGGATGAACTTGACGAAAGGTCCTCCAGAATCTCAGAAAAAGCCCCTGTGCTGATTCCACCGATCGACCTGCAAAAAGCTTATCCTCATAGCTACGGAAGATCTCCTGGGCCATATCTTGTATGCATAGAATAGGATGTTGCACCGTGCCATCACCATCAGGAGATGGCACTGGTATGTGCTTGACTGGGACACGGAGAGCAAAGCCACGCTTGGTCACAGCATCATTGAAGTTGCGAGCCTTGTTCTTGCTTGTCTTGGACTCAGCAAGCTTAACCACAATATCTTGTCCAGGATGCCCAGGCAACATTGTTTCTGCTGTATTGCGTGCATGAGAGCTCGCACTGCTGGCTGTCCCATCCTTCGCATATCGATCTTATAACAAGCGAAGCAACAAGACAAGCCATGCACAACAACGACACAAGCTTGCTCTTTGTCTTGTATGCATGATGGTTGGAGTGCCAGTCTGTTGTTGCTGGATTCTCGTCTTGCCGTCGTTACATGCTAATTGTCTTGATTACGGTTGTTGCTGTTGTCGTTGTTGTTGCTGTTCCTGTTGTGATGGTGTTGTCGGACGGGGTGGTGCTAGTGCTGGGAGCAGTACCGGTGGTCGTAGTAGTGGTAGTCGGGGTGGCAGCAGTAGTGGCGGGGGTGGTCGTCGTTATTATCGTCGCCGTGAATAAGAACTATTTTGACTGCGATTATTATGGTGGTTGTGCTTGTGGATATTCTTGTTATTGATGTTGTTGCTGGCATGCTGTTGATGCTGATGTTATTGTTGTTGATGTTGTTGTGCATGAGCATGCAAACAACTCAAGCCATGCGGCCACATAGGTGATGAGCACATTGGTCACGGCTTCAGCACCTGCGCGAGGAGGTGGGCTCAGTAGTAAATTACAAACCTAGCAAACTTCACATCATGCAGGGGCAAGACATCGATCCTTTTCAGAAGCAGCCACTCGGAACTCTGGCTACTGGGTCCCCAAGTGTTCAACATGCCAAGAAGCTCCGTCTTCTGAGTATGCAAGTACTCTAAATCGAGCCTTCAGTAAATGGCTCATGACCCTTTATCGAAGTATATTCCCAGAGGAGCAATTGCATGTTCGTATTCCAGCTGTGCCCCAGCCGCCTGTATGAACTCAGCACTGCAGCTATGTAGTCTATTATGCGAGAATGCAGTGTATCGTCTACCCAGGTCCGGTTTGTCGCAGTGCATTTACCTAGATCAGATTACCATTCCCAGGTCCACACAGGCAGGCCAACACAGAAGTGAAAACTCTGGAGCAAAACATGGCATGGCCCACACAAGAAGTTCTTTGGTATGCTGTTGAAGCAGTGCTATATGTTGATTAGCTGCATGGAGGGTGCACAAGACTTAAGACTTAAGCTATAGGCTGTAGTGCATGGCAACTATAGTCGACCATTTGCCATGGGGCTCAACTATCAATCTCCTCTTTGGCTGCAGGCTTCGGTGCCCGTTTGGGCTTCGGAGCATAATGGCTCCTTGGCTGCAAAAATGGTTTCAATAATCATGCCGTTAAGATATCACATGCCTGTGTTAATTGCGATGCTGCCCAGCGTCTTGAGCGAAGCAATGTTGTTGCCAAAGGTGGTCACCCTTAGCTTGTTCTGTTCAGACTATATGATATATCTGTACTTTTGTAGCTTGGTGCTGCAAATGCACTGAACTGAGCCCATAACGCATCACGAATCTTTCGGGTGATGTCGGTGAAGGCGACGGCATCCCTTAATCAGCTGGTGTTGTTTACCCGTGATCTGACAGAAACGCACAAGCAGCATAATTTCAGCGCAAGTCACTTTTCCACAAGCTCCATGTCACAGATCGCTTTGTAGAAGACATTGAGCTCACCTGAGAGACGACAAGTTATTTTGCAATGAAGTATATTGCACATATATATTCTTGCCCAGCATGAGCATGCTGTCTTGACATGCAGCAACAACAGACACACACACACACACACCATGAAGCATGAAGCAGAGCTTGCTCATCCTAAAATTGCAGCCAATTGCACCCAACGTTCTTTCACAAGCCGTCAAATCATCCCTCGGTTTGAGGCATGACAACATGCAACAGAAGCAGTCCAATCAGCAGATTCATAACCATCAACAAGACAATGTTCATGTGCTGTGTGACAAGAGACTGGTGTGTACTGCATTTTTCGTCGACCAATCTGTCTTTGACCTCCTTGAGCACGGTTCGCTTGTTTAGCAGTGCTTTTTTGTACTTTCCCAGGTTGGCGGTCAGGTCCTTATCCCCTTCCACGATCAATGGCAGACCTGTCTTCACCCCTCCCCTGCCACCCCCCTTCCTCCCGTTTTTCCCCTCAGCAGCTTTCGAATCCGGCACCGACTCGTCGTCGCTGATCTCGAAGGAATCGCCGCACCCGAGCTGGAACTGGTCGTTGAAGAATCCTGCCTCTTCCATGAGCTCCTCCAGCTCCCTGAGCTTCTCCTGCCCTTGCCTGGTTTTCAGAAGAGAATGTCCAAATAGGTTTCTTTGTCACAACTTGAAATAGCCAAGGCCAAGGAGGAAACAGACTTACAGCCGAGTTTCTGCACCGTATCCGAGACAAGCACAAGAAACTTGTATTCACCCGTATACGGGCAAGTCTTGAATAGCCGCTTCGCATTGCAATACTTCTTGGCTCCTTCGACCTTTTCCCTTAAGTGTTGATAGTGTGCTTGATGAAAACGACCTAAAATAACCAATAGAATGAGGCTCATGTTAATACAATACAAGGCTCTTGGGCCAACCTTTGGCCTCCATGTCGGCGGTCGTACACCATTCAAACCCTTGAGTGTTCTTCTTCCACTCTTTGGTAGACTGCCGCAAGCGTATCAGCGCCTCCAAACGACCCTTGTTGATGCTGTGATCGTCTGCAGGGCTGTAAACCTTTACCACGAAGTCTCGCAGCAGTC